CCACTGAAGACTTTCCGAAGAAATGGGATAACCTTTCACAGGTGAGAATGTGTTTATTTGTGTTTTAATATGCATTAATTCAATATTACAGGTTTTTATATATCCTAACTGGTTACACTTTACTTGAAGGGGTGTGCATAAGACTGACATGACACCTTCATAATCATGACATGACACCTACATAATCAAGACATGACACATGTCATGAATATGAAGGTTTTTTATGCATGTTTATGACAACTGTCATTAAGTGTCATTCGCTCAGTTATGCAATTTTTAATGCAAAGATGACATTGTTTGAGATGTCTTTGTTATGGGCTATTGTCATATTTGCATTAAAAAGTAGGGTTAGGTTAGGGTTAGGTCAAATAATGTCATATTTGCATTAAAAATGACATAACTGAGCGAATGACACTTAATGACAGTTGTCATAAACATGCATAAAACCTCCTTCATATTCATGACATGTGTCATGTCATGATTATGAAGGTGTCATGTCAGTCTTATGCACACCCCTTCAAATAAAGTGTTACCTACTAACTTTTTAGTGTTGTGTCAGCACCTTCAAATTGTTGTATTGAGTTAATTTAGCATAGTCACCTGCTGAAGTCTATATATAGATATAAATATGCATACTGTACATGCGCATAACTCCAGATGCAGACACACAGTTAATTTGCTCTTGAGTGCTCATGGACCGGCTTTGACCCAATAGAAACAGCAGCTTTTGAGGCATCTATGTATATCCCTGAGAGAGATGCATCTCTGTTCCTGACAACCTCTGTATTATTGATTATTATTTCAGGCATTTAAAAAAAAAATCCATTGACTTCAGGACAGTGGAACCAGAAGGGCTAAAATGTTAACTCGTTTCCGTTTTTGAGGTTTTAGCATACAAAAATTTAATCTTATCCAGTCATTTAAAAAAATGAATGAATGTATATAGGCTATTTTTATAAAAAATAAAAAAACTTCCAACATGCAGACAATTCTATTCAAAAACCTGGCTTATAAATGAATGGAAGATTCTAAAAATATCTTCTTTTAAATACAAAACATGAAGTCTATAGCATATGAAATTGTGCATAACTTCACTTTATTAGGATACTTGTTGTGATTATTTTTTTCCAGACCACTACAACACCTGACAGTTTCAGGTATTATCTGTCTCTGTTGTTGTAATCTACATGCTTCAGGCACATAAAGGAATGACTGCTGAGCTATAAACGATCACGAAGCTAAATCCGTTCACTCAGAAACCCGCTCCAGAAAGAGCACTAAAAATAAAGCACTGTAAATAGAACACAAACAGGGCACCATTCTGCATCGTAAGCGCCAACGACTGTTTAAAACACGGCACAGAAACGCTGCACATGGACGAATAACTCCTCTGTACATTCTGTTCAGACAGAACAAGAGCGAGAAGCAGCAGTTCCCTCATATGACCGGCCGTCTGACGTCAACATCAACATATAATGAATGCAGTTCGGGACGCCAGCGCTGTTATGCAACTGAACTATTTCACTTCCCCGAAAAGCGCACAGTGGCGATTCACCCCCAAATACAGGACACGACGTGTTGGGTCGCATCGGCCCTAGAGACTCACTGAAGTGCGCTTCCATGTTCGTAAATAGCGTCCTCGCTGTCTGAAGCTGAAACCTGAGGAAGATTGGAGCTGGCGGACTATTTATCGCATATGTTCCACAGTCTAGGTTCTTTAAGGACGCGTGTTCCCATCGTGCTCTGAATTATTTAGCCCCTCACAACAAAGATCAGCTCGTGTGCTCTTATTCAATCCTGTTGCATCCGCTGAGGCTGCCACGATTATGAAATTGTGGCTGATGATTCAATTGTCACTGATCATTTCGATTGGTGGTTTAATTAGGTCACTTTTAGTCTACCATTCACATACACAAGAAGAAGTCATTTATTCACATTGCACTGGAAATCCCACAATTAAATGTGATTTCCTGCAACGCTTTATAAACCAATATTCCACAGGGTAGAATGATTAATAATCAATTTGAATATTAAAATAATAACAAATGTTTTAAATAGCCTATTTCTCTTTTGGGTCCACTTTAGTCCACTTTGCATTTAGACTGATTATTATAGCAATATCATATAAATTGTTATTATTGTTACTACTATTATTTGTTGTGAATATTATGCAATAGTAATATATTTTTAAAATATAAATGCTTAGCTTTCACTGCCCGACCTACAACAGTTACAAATATTGTGAACAAATCAACCACACTCTAAAAAATGCTGGGTTGTTTCAACCCAAATTTGGGTCAAATATGGACTAACCCAACTTTTGGGTTAAAACTTTAATTAAAAAATGTAACCCAACAGCTAGGTTAGTCCATATTTGACCCAATGTTGGGTTGAAACAACCCAGCATTTTTTAGAGTGTGTATATGTTTCATTTTTCATGTTTTGACTTTGTAATCAAAATGTCACGACTGGACCTTCAAGTCAAGTCAAGTCAAGTCTGCTTTATTGTCAATTCTTCCACGTGTACAGCACATACACACAGAGAATTGAAATTGCGTTACTCTCAGACCCTTGGGTTGTTCAGCTTTTGATGCTTCTGTTGCTTGTGCTACCAAAAATCAATAACTCTCATTACAAGGGAATAATATCTGGACACCTCTTCAGTGTGAACAGGCCTTGAGTGTGGAACTGCAGAACTTCTTTACGTATGTTAGAGTTTGGTCGCATAATGCACTACTGCACCGGAAAAAGAAACAATAATATTTCAATAATATACTACAAATAATATTTCATATTTAATTTCTCTTCAATTCACTTATAATTCCCTCTATTGTATGGCAATGAATGAATACAACTGGAATCACAATTAGATCAACAACAGGCAACTATGTAATAACTGCAACTGAGCTGTTGAAACTTAGCAACAATATCCTGCTAATTAGTCTTTTGTAATTTAGAGTTTATTTGACATTGTGACAACATCTGTAGATTTATAACTGCTGTAGATGTAAATCTTTGCACATTAAACTGACAGTTTTCTTCAAAGGGGCCTATAAATTTAAGACTTATAAATGATGAACCTGTATCAAGGTGAAATGATTGATTGATCCCTTGCCACCCACGAATGAAACCAACCTACATGTACTAATAACATTAGTAAACCAAAGGACAAGTCATTCAACATGCACCTTAAGTACACTGCTCTGTGGAATACTTGATTCTGACTGGTCAATCGCTGAAGGGTCAAATATTTCTGGAAAATGAGTTTCCCACACAGTTGTTCCTTCTCTACAAGTAACTTAATAAAACCAATCAAATCAATATTTATCAAGATACAGACAGACAGACAAGACAGACAGACAGACAGACAGACAGACAGAAGAAACCAAAAGGAAAACCACTGTTAAGCCCCATTCACAATGACAGCAATACAATAACTGGAGGTCACAGGTGGTTTCCTACTGTTGGTTTCATACTCTGCCCAATCTGTATCAGGGAAGATCCCACATTTGCAAAAAGTTAATATCTGTTCAGCTTTTGATGCTTCTGTTGCTTGTGCTACCAAAAATCAATAACTCTCATTACAAGGGAATAATATCTGGACACCTCTTCAGTGTGAACAGGCCTTGAGTGTGGAACTGCAGAACTTCTTTACGTATGTTAGAGTTTGGTCGCATAATGCACTACTGCACCGGAAAAAGAAACAATAATATTTCAATAATATACTACAAATAATATTTCATATTTAATTTCTCTTCAATTCACTTATAATTCCCTCTATTGTATGGCAATGAATGAATACAACTGGAATCACAATTAGATCAACAACAGGCAACTATGTAATAACTGCAACTGAGCTGTTGAAATTAGCAACAATATCCTGCTAATTAGTCTTTTGTAATTTAGAGTTTATTTGACATTGTGACAACATCTGTAGATTTATAACTGCTGTAGATGTAAATCTTTGCACATTAAACTGACAGTTTTCTTCAAAGGGGCCTATAAATTTAAGACTTATAAATGATGAACCTGTATCAAGGTGAAATGATTGATTGATCCCTTGCCACCCACGAATGAAACCAACCTACATGTACTAATAACATTAGTAAACCAAAGGACAAGTCATTCAACATGCACCTTAAGTACACTGCTCTGTGGAATACTTGATTCTGACTGGTCAATCGCTGAAGGGTCAAATATTTCTGGAAAATGAGTTTCCCACACAGTTGTTCCTTCTCTACAAGTAACTTAATAAAACCAATCAAATCAATATTTATCAAGATACAGACAGACAGACAAGACAGACAGACAGACAGACAGACAGACAGATAGATAGATAGATAGATAGATAGATAGATAGATAGATAGATAGATAGATTGATTGGTCACTGCAGGGTAAAAATTAGTTTTCCAGGGCAAGATTGTATAATTGCCCCCTCATGTTTCCCACACAGTTGTTCTGTAATTAAATAAAACCAATCCAATCAATATTTCACGTCCATGTATATAAATATGCTATATATGTATACATATATATATATATATATATCTATATATATATATATATATATATATATATCCTTTAGGGTGATACAAACTCAAAACTCTTACTGAAAACCCTAACTGTATATATCTCTTTACAAATGACCTAGTAATTGTTTCTACATGACAGTAGGGTGGTGAACAACTCGCTCTCCAGTGCCAGTCATCTCGAATGCAATTAACAGTCCATTTTACAATGGTTATGCACTCTTTACACGAGCCACAAGAGCGGGAACTAAGTGAACTAGTCTTTAGCTGTGTTTGCTAACCCAGAACTTGGTAATAGCCCTCATTGGTGACCTCGTATGCCGCGTGCAAAGTGCAGAGCCTCAAACCATGCGCAGCGGCGCGACGACGCCGCAGATGTTTTACAGCTCTGCACCTTTGCGCGCACCATAAGTGGACACCTCTGAAGTGAGAAGCTCAACGCGACAGCTGACCGCAGGACAATTACTCACCCACTTCCTTAGGAAGAAAGACGAACTGCTTCCAAAAACCGAGATGGTCCACTGAAGTGCCACCAGTCTTCTTAACGAGCGGTCTTCGTCGCGAATCGCCTTTCGGCGGGTTGCGATACCCTTTCAAACCGCTAAGAACTAGTTAAAAGAATAGCCTGTATTTGGAATATATGCACTTAAAGGCAGTTAATACATATTTGGTTTGTCTGTGTGTGTGAAAACGACCAGGTTTCGGCTGCCACAACAGGAAAATACACGAGCTTTACTATAATCGCTCCACCCCCTTTACGGTAAGGACGAGCTGATGGTATAGAAGTATGTGATTATATCAAATGCTGCTCTCTACAGGTTCACAGCAACTTTAACCCTGTGTGAGATGGATGCCCCTGTGTGTGTGAAAGCACTTCCTGAGACATCTATACATCTCCTCCTTGAATTGTTGTGATCTTGCAGTATGCTAATTCAAGCCCCCTTTTACTGTAGGAAATGCAATATAATGAGATTATTTAGCCTATTACATAGAAGGCTTACATTTCCCTCTTTGGTGATTAAAAGATAATCATTCAAATTGAACATATGTAGCCTATTGTGCAGGTCTCAGACATTGTTTAAAAAAATAAATTATATATATATATATATATATATATAGATATATATATATATATAAGTGGTTATTCAAAAATACATTGAAATTGCAATTTGTACATTTTACTTCTATATGATGATCATATACAATGAATTCTATATGATGAACATATTTTCAATTGTAAAATTAGTTTTTCATATTTTTATGGATCTTAAATTCAAAAAAGTATTAAAATCACTCTCAGTCGCTGCTTATTGGTCAATACTGAAATAATGAAATATGAATAATGAAAGATTATGCCAACTTTCTTCTTTTTTCTTTAAAAATAATTAAATATATTCAGTCCAATCAATGTCAGAGTGGTGTAATCAACATGTCTAAAGCCGTTTTGTTATCATGTGACAAAAAAAAACAGATATTACATTGCTTTATATGATATCAAATATTAGATACTTTCTATGAAATGGCACTTTTTGTTCAGGTCAAATTGAGCAATTTTGAGATTATGACTAAAATTGAATGATATTTGTACGAAGCATTTTTTACTTGACAAATATATTTGAAAACATTTTTGATAAAGATTAATATGTGTGCAAGTTAAGTGTTGTAGAACTTTTATTTGAACATTAACTCACACGTTTTTAAACGGAATCATAACTAACATGAATACAAAGATTATATTTTTAGAAATATGGCACAAATCTAATTTACTTCTAGTTTTAAAATATTTCTCAGTTGTTATCATCTCAAACAACACTTTTTTGAACCATAAATAAATGATGTCTAGTAATGATTAGACAGCGGACAGGGAGTATTAAATTCAGTATATGATATGATCTTTCTCAGTATAAACATTTTAATGGCGTTAGTCCAGCAGTCATCAGTGAAACACACACACACACACAAATGATGCATCTTTTCATTTACCTCCATACCCTGGGGCTTGCGTGTCAGTCAACGAGTCATTAATAAATACACACACTGACAAAAACACCAAGGGTGTGTGGTTAATTGTTTTCAGTCTCACTAGGGTTTTCACTGGGGCTCTAAAATAGTATCATCTCTATCTGAATCAGACAAGCAGAGAGATGGTTGAGATGGAGGCCAACTGCTCAAATAGAGAGACTACTACTCAAAGGAGGTGTAAATGTGTTTGTCTCACACCTTTATACACATTCAATCACACAGTTCTGTCAGTTTTAAACTGAGCAGGCCTTCTGTATTAGCACAGTGCTGATGTAGTGTGAAGAGTTCAAAAAGTCTGAGCTTATCGTTCATGCTACATTTAAATGTGTGTGGACAATTACAATTAATGTGGCTCTTATTTTTGCCCAAAAAATAATAAATTCAAAAATACATCATAAATGCAGTTCATATTAAAATTCTGAATTAAAACTATTTTTTTTTCAAGTTAAACAAATTGGTGTAACTAGAGTAAAAAAAAAGCCTTTATATATAATGCATTATAAGTCATTTTAATGCATGAATTATGCCTTGTAATGCAGCTTATAATGCATTGTATGATGTAATGAATAATTGTATCCCCAGATATAATACATTATAATTCTTATTTATTTATTGTTACACCTTTTGAAAGTATAAAACACATGATAAACAAAACTTCAGATATTATAATGCATTTTAACATTGGTCACAATTATCTATAAAAAGATAGAATGCATACAAATGTACATTAATACATTATACATAAAGCCTTTAAGTAAAGGCTTATATATCGTAATGTCTTGTTGGCATAACCAAAAGGTCTATAGTTCAAAAAATGGCTGTTTATACTACTTTAGGAGTAGCAGTATTTTCTTAAAACATTTTAAATATTTTCATACTTCAAACATTTTTGTACAACAAATAAAAGTATGTGGTGCACTGAAAAAAATGGTAACCATTTTACTGAGAAACTGCTAGTAAGTAACACATTGAATGAAATGGAACATTTTGAAGTAGAAATACTATTTGATATTTATTTATTTTGTAAAATGTACTCCATTTTGTATTATTTACAACTTTGAAAAATCCTTTTTTTACAGTGCAGCCAACATGCAGGAGGTCATTTTGTTGTCAAGAAAATGATACAGCAGAGAGAAGTATCACTGCAGGCTGTTACACAGTGCTGAGACAGTTGTATATGGACAATGTAGCATTTTAATTTCATTAAATGTATTATGAATGATAATCAATAGCAGAATAAGCAACACATCTGTCTCACTCCTTCACTCTAAATTGCTACATAATTAGTCGTGCTTTTATGAGTAGCAGTCGCAGTGCCACTGTATGGATTTTTTTAAAACCCATAGCTTTAATGAATCTTTGGGGACATCGTCTTTCACGGCTGATTTACTCGCCATCAACTCTCTGGTTGACCATTCTCTTCTCTGTCAGTCTCTCTTTTAAGAATCCCAGCTCACTGTGTGCCAGTGTAGAGGAACGGCACAGAGTTCTTAGTGAATTGGGCTGTGGGGTATTGGTTTGTACATTAATTCACAGCGAGAACAGGACTGCTGCTGAGCAGTGCTTTCTTTCAATCAGAACGTATTTTCCCTGCTGCTTTTGAAATTGCAGTATCTTACTCCATTATGCTGAAAAGTCTTCAGTATACAGACTCTTCACTTTAAGATATTTATCTCATTGCAGTCATATTACTAAGAAAACCTAATTGGGTCAGTGATACATAATTTTATAGATGATTGCTCTTCATTTGAAGGTGAATCTGATGTCAATCAGTCAATCTGAACTTTATCATATCATATGAAGTAACGCTGCACTTCAAGTGCTTAATGCCTAGTATATGATGATGACTCATTATTATGAATGATTCAAATGTCTAGGTTTGTATTAGTCATGTGTCTCATTTTGAACCACTATAAATGAAGGCTGAGATGTTGCACAACATGTCTTCATTCATTTCTAAGTGTTTATGAATTGAAATAGCACATAATGTGAAAGCATTTATCAGGGAGCTGTAATGTGTGTCTGAAATACTCTGTATTGAGTAGATGCGCTCAGCTGTCTAAAGTTTACAGTACACAGGTTCACCACACACCGTTTTATGCTTGGTCACCTGTTCAGCGAAACATGATGCAGAAATAAGGGAACATGATATTTATGAATAATATTGCCGTCAAGCCTCATTAGTAGACAAAACCCAAACAAGGCTTAATAAATATCATTATCATTAACCTAAACTGTTATTTACTACATTGGACCCCAAAGTTTAGTCAAGTCTTTAATAAATCTGCAAAAGTAGTAAATAATCAACTTTATTTTGCAGTTTTCTGTGAATACGTGAGACTTCATTCAGATTCATTAGCTGCTACACGCTCAGAAAAAAAGATACAAAACTGTCACTGGGCTGGTACCCTTTCAAAAGGTGCTAATTATGTACACTTTCCTCCGGTTTCAAAGACGAGGCTTAAGGCTAGTCCCAGACTAAAATGCATGTTTGAGCTGTCTCAACTGAAAGTATCTTGTTCTGACATATCTTAAAATATGTCAGTGCCATTGTGCTATCTAAAGATGCAAACCTGTAATGTTTTTTTTCTAAGGCATTTTTATAAATGCTGCTTAAATACCTTAATTTAACTAAGGCCTGGTCCTGGCTTAAGCTAAGCCCCGTCTGTGAAACCGGGCCTAATATGTACCATTTAGGGGTAAATAAGTTACAAAAATGTACCTTTTTGCTTTTGTATCTTATAGGCTACTGCTAGCTTTGTACTTTTTTTTTTTACCTGAGAGTGTTTCTGAGGTAAATAACTAAGAATAACAGAGTGCAGTAAACAGCAAAATATGATCTCATAATAAATGATATGATATTAAATGAAATAATATTTTAACAAATAGCATGGTAACCTGCAGTTTGCAATATCAAGCAGTATAAAGGACTATTTTTGTACAGATCGAATAACTGGAACCGGCCACCGGAAACCTCACACATCTAAGTTACAAAATGGATGCACCCATTCTTACATTAAAAATAAGCTGGATAGATTTATCTAGTTTAATATCTGACTGCACAGATAAACATAAGGTGAGCAACCAGAAATACAATGAAGTTCACGAATCTGATCTGATCTGCTGGTGAACTGGGTGCTGAAGACAACATTCCCCATGTTTCTCAGTGCCTCCCACCAGCAAGGAAATAAAGACTGAAGTAGAACATGTGGGGATTATGCAGAAGAAGAGGAGTGGAGTGCGGATCAGAGAGATGGGGAGGTCTCTGTCATAATAACCATGCGAAATCCTATTCCCACTGATCCCATAAAAGCACATATCAAAGTCATCACCGCAGGGCAAGAGCATTAGGCACATGAAAGTATTTGATGCACTTCTGAAGAGGACTGTGTGTGTGTGTGTGTGTGAGTCATTTCAGCTTCGGAAATGTTAAGGCCATTTCCATTTCCAATCATGTCAAAAATATGATTTGATTCCATTAACATTAATATGTGCAAAGAAGTGGCTATGGCTGCACTCCTTAGAAGTGATAAATTGAAATACAAATCATTTTTTTATTTATCAAATTTCATTTTGAGTTCTAATGATGTTACCGATATATCAGACTGTTTATCGGAAAAGTCCCACAGCTTGATCTGGATTTGAATTTATTTAAGGCTTTTCAAACTTTTTTCTTTTATAATTGTCCCTAAATTATCTCTAA